CCTTCACGTCACGAACATCTTTAGCGGCTGTTTCCATCCCGTGTGCAATTTCTAAAGCTCGTTTTAAATCTAATGTCGGTTCAGCCAGTAAACGTCTCTGTATTCGATCTTCGTTGACGCCACAGACTAATCGATCTCTCAACATTTCATCTAATGCACTACCGAACTCACAATGTTCAGACAATGCCCGAAGTTCGGCCATAAAAGTCGAGATTGATTCGTCGTTTCTTCTGACCCGAGTATTAAATTTATAACGTTGTACAATTACTGATGGCTTCGGAACATAATGGTTTTTTATAGCTTCAGATAATTCTTCATATGACAATTTGTTCGGAACCTCTGGCCGTATTAAACCTCGCAGTAGTTTATAGGTTTTCGCACCTATAACACTCAGGAAAATCGAGCGTTTCTTATCTTTGTCTTCGATATCATTCGCTTCGAAATAGTGATCCATTCGCTCCACATACTGTGTCCATTCTTCCCTCTCGTCGTATTCATCTATTCGACCGTACGTAGCCATGTTACGCCTTAATTTTTTACCTTCGTCGCCAATATAATATACTCAGTCTCGGGTAGTTTAATCAGCACTTTATTGACATACGTATGCTATTTATACAAACTGTTATGAATATATTACAATGACTAATTAGGACAACTGATTAACATATATTACACAATCTTGACTATACTACATAGCTCTCGTGTGCGGGCGATTTACGAACGACTTTTGTCATTCGTGCCACTTACGCCAAATATCTAACATGTTTGATAATTTCTGCCTCGCGTGCCAAAATCTTTCCGTGTGCGGCGAACGAAAGCTATCTGCTTACGGATTGTCGTAACAGCGCATGCGTAGTATACGAAAGTAAACATCCAAGATGGCGGCGCAAAATGAATTGCTGGCCGAGGCAATTTTAGAGGACAAACTTGTCGAACTTTGGCCTGAATATAAATATTTATACGATGTGAGTTTTGCAGATTTTAGAAATAGGGACAAAAGGGAATGTGCGGTGAAAGAAATAGCCAGTAAGTTTGTCCTCTAAAATTGCCTCGGCCAGCAATTCATTTTGCGCCGCCATCTCGGATGTTTACTTTCGTATACTACGCATGCGCTGTTACGACAATCCGTAAGCAGATAGCTTTCGTTCGCCGCACTCGGAAAGATTTTGGCACGCGAGGCAGAAATTATCAAACATGTTAGATATTTGGCGTAAGTGGCACGAATGACAAAAGTCGTTCGTAAATCGCCCGCACACGAGAGCTATCTCCTTACGCCAACAGTCACGAATGACATTTTGCTAAGCACATAGCTCTAGTGTGCGCCGGCCTTTTAGCGTTGTAAACAGAGAGAGGACAATGTCTAAATTATTCATATAATGTAATTACTCAATTCTTTCCAATGATCTATTGTATTGGTATAGCCGTTGCCGTCCTAAAATCGTATATAAGCTCTCTAAAAATAGCATGTAGCAAGCTTTGATTTGCCGATATAAATGTATAATTGAAAGATCAAACTTTTCCGTATCCCGTAGGAAGAATCGTGATAACCGGCGTCTTCATGCACCACGTAGCAAATTAATACTAGACTTTCTCTGTTCTCCCTTCTGGTTTCAACTGAATTTCGAAGCTTTTAAAAATAATTGAAATAATGATGCAAATGAGAGAAAATTAAGCGTTGGCAACGTAAAAAAATTAAGCGTTGTGACGACGACGGCTATTCACACAATGATATTCCTGATCTCGTATAAAAGAAACGAATAATTAATAGCCCCACAGGAGTTAGAGACGGTGTGTTAGCCGGCTTTTTACAACGGCAAACCAGAGATTTTCACGTCTCGTGTACAACGCAAACATGTCAAGACGCGACAAGTGAAACTACTTTTGTTTCATAAATTTGCTCAGCAAAAGCGTTTTTAACAACAAAGCCTTTGTTTTAAATTCTGCAAACTGAACTCAATTCATATATAGATAATACACAACAACTCTTCTTCGCATTAATTTATTTAAAGAAGTTTGTTTTGGCTGTCGTTGCCGTCGTAAATGCTTAAGGTCCCCATAATAACTGTTGACAACGACATATTTTATTTTTCTGTTTTCAGTATAGCTTTAAATTTGTATTGGCCGAATTACTGGCTTTTTCCCTATTGCTAACGGGCTATTGGTGAGTAAGCTTTCAACAAAGGTATAATCATGCACTTCTGCCCAATGCTTCCGCCTGATATAATACTTCAAGACAGAACAAAATATAAATATCACACCATGTGTTATCTTGAGAAATTAAATCTTAATAATACAGGAGTTTTTGCTATAGATTTATAGCAAAAAAGACTGACTAGCTTTGGTTTGGTGCTTTTTGTACATTTCAAAGGGCATGGATTGTTATCAATCTTAATAGTTTTACCTTAATTATCAGTCTGTACGTGTTGGAAAACGCTTATTTTTACCGCATGGTAATGCACAAAATATAAAATAATGCGCAATTGTGGCGACTAGTTTTCGAATGCTTCAATATATATCTTAATTCATCGAATTATCTAACGGTTATATTCTAGTTTCATATCACGCAGTCACAAAATATAATATAGTCATATCAGATAGTATATTCGTATGAATTGCACAAATGTCTCCGATCCCTGTCAATGTAACGATGGAAATGATTTTTTATCTTCAGCCTGTGTATTCCCATTGAGCGGTGTTGATCGATCTTTCTACAGACGTAGAGGCGAATTATACTATAAATTAAAATAGAAGCCGTAACTTGAATGCAAAAACAAAGACTGACAATTTAAGCGATTACGGTGACAATTCTAGTGGTTTACAATGCGTATAGTCAGCAATGTAGAAGGGACGTTAAGGGATAACATTGATGCTTTGAAAACAGAATATTTTCCCCCAAACAGTGCAGCATCAACAAGGGGAACTATTGCAGTGGGAGAATATGTTGTAAAGCATGGTCCACTGATACCTACGACAGACTCATGCAAAGTTTACAAGGAGGCCAGTGGTCGCACAAGCGAACGAAGAATGATGTCAGCAGAGTTGTACAGCATAATATCAAAACACGTAAACGTAATGCAGCTGTACATTAACGGTCGAGAATTCATAAGTGAAACAACTGGTTCAGATTTTAGGCCATTGGTCACATTTTTAAACAACCAGAAAAGGTCGTAAACGACAAGGTGAACGATAAGATTAGTCACTGTTTCAAGGACGCTCTTAGATACATGGATACTAAGCGAGATCAAGATATGGCTATCGCACTCATGGAGCGTATAACGAGTGTAACATTTGTTGCTGGCAGACTTCTACACACTAAAAATAAACGTGCAGTGCAGACTTGTCGTGACTCGCCAATGCCAAATTTAAGCACCTTTGAAGGAATTAAATTCACTTCACAAGTAGGTCCAAAACGACATGACGAATGAAAATCAGCGCAAACTTTCGTTAAGAATTGCCAATAAACGAAAAAGTATGGAAATTTTGCACGTTCAACCAGGTCGAGGACGCATACTCAAATGCGAAGAAAACGAATCTCTTGTGCCCTTACTTGAGTATGCTTTCATGGACAACGACATTCGCGAGCGAGGGGGAGGAGGTCTGCAGAGTCACCCACGGCTAATTGACGAAACCTTGTATAGGACCCCAAATGGCAACACGGACATGAAAAAAGCCAGAGAAATTGTAATTGCAATGTCAAATCCAGATTTTCATATATCTTTATCGCGGTGTTACAACACTAAAACACCAAAATTACAAGAAAAACACGTCACAAGCGAAAAGACATCACGATGGGAAAGGTATAAAATGCCAAAATCTCCTTTAGGCCGTAGGATGAGCATCCAAAAGATGCAATTCCGTTGCACCCCTCGTGTAACTACGTAATTTTCACATGAATAAATAGATAAAAACGTACTTTATCAGAATCCGTTGCTCCCCAAGCGAAACAGGTGCACAATTGGGAGAAAAATCCCTCCAAAGTTTGATATTTTCGCGCTTCGAAATTCTCGAACCGCCATTATTTTGGTAGCAAATACGCATGCGCAACTCAGCCAAACTCGCACTGCGCACGCGCAGACTATAAAAATAGATTCTCACTGGGGAGTTTCCCCGATTTCCTCCGCAAAAACAACAAAATAAAATCAGGGAATACTGATAAACCTTGTAATATAAATGCACCCACATTAAATATTGTTAAAAACACATTGTATATTTTGCTTGCTCATATGCTAAATCACTTCAATTCATTGGCTATTGTTTTAAAATACCGTTTTAACGTTTTATTCTACTTTATATTAACATCCTAATTCAATACAAATTTGTGTGAGGTAAAAAACCCACCTGTATCAAACAGGACGAAGAAATGAAAATTATATATACATACAATTCACACGATCAAGGAACAAATGAAATATTTCGCTAAACTTAAAGCCTTGGCCAAACGTAAGAAACAATGTCGCGGAAATATTCGTGATTTTTAATTGGCTTTTATTGCAGACGCAAAATTTGCTTCCCAGAAAGCAAATTATTTCCTACCAAATTCAGAAGCATTTTATGAAACACTCTTTATCTGTTTGCCGACGCTGATAAGACAATATGACATACCGAAAGATTGGAAAGACAAATAATATGACAACAGTGTTTCCCAGTTCATCCCGGGCTTTAAGGGATATTTATGTAAACTCGAAATTCATCATAAAAAAAAAGATAAATTGGGAGGAAATATAAAATCCATAATTTCATTATAGCTATCTATAATTGAAAGAAATGTTTTCATCTTTGAACCCAGATTTTCATCAGAGCAATAAAATCCCACTTATTGGATCCTGGCCAAGGGCTTGCACGCTCAAAACGAGATTGCATGTATTCTGCAATAAGCTGTCCTGGCTTTTGTCTGGTAAAGTTCTACTTCTCGTATTTGAACTATTACATATATTATATTTATATTGTGACATAAGTTGGTATATAGCCACTATCTAGAATAACGAACGATACATCCTGGTTTTTCATGTCCACACTAGTTGACTTTTTCTTATAGATATACTGCTGTGCATTTCAGCTCCTCCACCAGGGTGCATTTTAGCTTCCCAGGCATGACCATACCGTTACCCTGTCCATGAGAGGGATATACGTGTTGATAATATAAATACTGTGGATCCGATTGAGAATATCGAATAAGTAAATAAATACTGATCTACTCCACTGATAATATCTATGTGCATTACCACCATTGTTCACCTCAAATCATTAATAATTCATGAGCAAATTAGCCAACCATATTGCTTTATTTTGCTCACATGATAATACTAGATGAAGTATATTGATCCTGTAGTGTCCTAGGACTGGATTAAAATTAATTCAGTCCTTGAACTGGATCAAAATTAATTAAGTAGTGATTTATTCGTATGGATGTCATTTCAAATCCTCCAATTCGGACTGGACTAGATTTCAAGTCCTCACATTTTGATCCAGTCCTCTGCTTCGCCTTGGACGTGATCAAATTGTGTGGACTTGAAATCTAGTCTAGTCCTGACCTCATAGTCAAATTTGAAATATTATCCCTTGTCAAATCAGATGACAATGATGGCCAAGGAAGATTCAGTTTTGGTATTTCTTGCACCTTTTGGTGAAGAATCAATGCAACATTGTATAGAATTTGTAACTTATTGACTTTAGAATTTCCCTCAGTTTCTGTGTTGGAATTCACATCATCATAATCAATGGTACAGCTCTCTTCAATCTTCATCATTGTTTTCAGACTTAGGGCCTGTTTATATGGAAGCCGGCCTGATAAGCGAGACAGCCTGGTAAGCAAGATCTTGCTGTGTAGTTATTTTTATAGTAAAAATTATTGTGCGTTTATATGGACAAGCGGGCTGGCCCGGTTGCCGAGATCTCATTTGAAAGAGGCTAGATCTCGCTTACCGGGATTGAAATTTCTCCATATAAACATTTACAAGCGGGCTATCCTGGTTGCCGGGATGAAAGTTCAAAGATACTGCCCCATTTTAATTTTAACAACTGTCAAAACAATACAATGTAACAAAATCGTCCCGGCAAGCGGGATGAAAGTTCCTCATAAACACAAGAGAAATTCATCCCGCTTACCGGGCTGTCTCACTAAGCGGGCCAGCCAGACTTCCATATAAACAGGCCTAGGCCCTTAATTGACATATGTTCCTCAACCAATTCAGAAGAATCCAAATTTTCCACATATACAATCTCACTAACATTTCTCATTTTCGGTACACAGAACACAAGTTGGGGATAACTTTTCATCATTCATT